TTATGTTTTTATAAGGTGGTCACAATTAATTTAATGTGTTTAAAAATACTTTGAATCCGTAAAACAGTACCTAGATGATCACTAAAGTGAGGGTTCTGTGAATGAAAGATTTGAGGCTTTATAATCACGAAAACATGGCAGGCTTACAACTCATATTAAGTGTGTACATATCAACTTTTGACCTTGTAATAAATAATACTACCTCGTTCAGTCGGAGATGGAGTAAGAAAGTATATGGCATCTTCGGGTATTGAGAATGAGTTGTCCAATAACAGACTGGTTGGTCTCACAGGTAAGGCCGTAGTCGACGAACTACGTCGGTATGCAATATAGCTATCTAAACATTCAAACGATGACCTCCGCACATCCAACTCTGGATATGTCGCTGACCGTTTTGACGGATATGATACTGGTGACGGTTGTGGCTTCTGTCGAAATAGGCATGATAATTTTTTCCGGAGACCTTTTGTACACATATCTTTTTTCAGATCTGAAGTACTGGACTCTTATATATCCCAGTAAATTCCCTCAAAAATGACATACATATGCATACTCAGTCAGGTGGCTATTTCAACATGGTTGTTTTGACCAGTGCACATTAGATGATTGCTAATGAGACGAACATTTTTGTTGTGCTAGTTGCGGTCACACCTCTGATTGGACAAATACCTATAATTGATAAGAGTACACGACAACTCTGATGGACAGATAGCTACGTGAGTTACACAGTAACTTTCTGACATTGTTACTGCAAAATCACTTTATTTAAAGAGTGAACACAGAAGTGTAATTCAAGTATGATCGCCATAGTGATAACCTAATTTTTTTGGATAAAAGTGCAATTTTCTCTGCAACATTGCAGCTATATACGGGAAATACTCACAGTACTAAGAAACAAAAACTCAAATGAATTCTGAGCCTTCATCAAACTAAACAGGTTAAAGAAATTTGTTGACAACATGGAACTGGTAATTTCATTATTAACTTCTCCCAGCAAAAACCTGTCTTGTGGGACAGATGAATATCCTCTGAAATTGACCCCTTGAACATACGTTTTTTTGGTATACAGTGAACAAGCAGTTCAAGTTCAACTTAACAACTGCTACTCTAATCTGTTGGCCATATTTGGGTCCATTGTGTGAACCACAATTTCCTGCCAAAAATACAACTTAAAAACAAAATTATTATAATTCTAATATACCAGCATTTCAAATGCCTGAATACATCATTCTGATTGCTTGAGAGTATGTTTTTAATAATGCAAACCATGATAAAATACCATATACAACATTTTTTCAGGGTAGGCCCTGAATGTGAATAACACACACTATGAGTAAATCTTGCTGTCAACAGAAATTGGCAAAAATAATATTATGCAATATGAATATAGAGCATGACGAAGAACAGTGCAATTCTCATATATTTGTTTATAAAGTAATGTATATTGGCCATAGATAATGTATTTTCCATGCATTATTTTGTGTCAAAAAAAATATACTATACTATACTACTATATTTTGGGTCCAACATAAATGCATGAAAAAACGATCGCCATCTATAGTGACTCATGACGCCGAACGTTTTCTATGATACTCAAAACTAATGATGTCTGTATTATTTTTATTGAACAACTTAACATATACCAAAGTTAAATAACGCAGACATAGATGTAAATTTCCTCCATCGCTCAATGTATTTATAATTGCGGTATGATAGTTCCATTTTTATTTTACAAGTAGAGTGTTTTGGGTGATGTATGACATTTGTAATGCTATAAAGGTATTTTTATGTCTCAGAATTACATTTAAACTTAGTTTAACAGAATGGCAATAACCCACCGCTGTCTGGTTTATTAGACAGTATGTCACAACAGACTTTGGTGATATTACACTCCTTGAGAAAACTCCAAAAACTCTAAGTTTTAATCGCAAATATTACAGTGTTCAAAACAACTAACAGTTATGCAAGGTCATGGATGTAAGACAATTACAAGGATAATAGGGTGTGTTATCAGTGAAGAATACCTAGCTGCACCTCAGTAGACCACTTCCTGTTAAAGTGATAACAAGTAGGAGTTTTGCTAAATTTTCATTAAATTCCATTTTTGTTTATACCCTGCTACTCTGTCATGAGGTAAAACTAACTCTGTGATGAGATTGCGTGACTTTTCGAGTGTAGATTATTACACTCTTCAAAAGGGTTGCAATGTCACTCTAGGAAACGGCATATTTTGATTGGAATTAAAAGTGACCAGATACTTACATCATATACTAATGAGACTGAGAAGCAAAGACCTAAACCTACACTACCAGGAAAAACAATGAATATTAGTTCAGTTTCAATAATCTATGACCTTCAGCCAATGGGGTGGATACTAGGACACCATGTGACAATACAGTTACAAGTAACCCCTCAAGAAAGCATTATTACTGATGACAAGAGAAAAACCAGTGGTGACATAACGATCAATGATGTGAAGACATTATTTATGTCTGTCATCTTTTCATCGTGTTCACCCTCCTAAATCCTACAGAAAACACTGCATAATTTAGTGTGATTACTCACAGTAAGTGAAACGTTTATTTCATTGCTACTATGTCAAATAAATCCTAATAAAGAGTAGTGACATGTGCTGATTTACTTTCTCGCCCAAATTATTTTGCTCTTTTTTCTTATATTCTTCAATATTTCTGGAAATGAACACTAATTTTGGAGCCAACAGACAAAATCTGAGTCAATTTTCTGGTTTTTTTGCTATTTTTTCCTAATATTGTGAAAGAAAGTGCAGTATAAACAAGTCTATTTTGTGAATTTGTGATGAAAAGTAGAAACTGGTTGTGAAAAGGTTAATAAACATGTAAAGGAGAGCATTAATAGAATTAACGACTGCTGCTTTCACTATGAAATATAACGTCTAACGTCTGAACACAGCCTACATAGTGTATTAGAAGCAACCACACACACAATGAGGCTGTTATCAATATCACAAAAAAAATGTGTATTGTGCAATATCTTCTCAGACACATCTAGTGATGTAATCTAGACAGTAATGTGATCTAAATATAAAAGTGTGCCATGAATTCTTATTTATCTTTATTTGTATACTGTGAAATACTTTATTTTCGCTTTGAATTAATTTTTGCTATTTTTGCTGAAGGAATGATTCAGTGAAAATAAATTCTATACAAAGCACCCAAAAAAGTCTTTTCAGCGAAAATTAATTCCAGCTAAAATAAAGTATTCTACAACTTGTGATTTTTCAACATGCGCCCTCCGTGGCAGGATGGATATAGACAGGTGGGGCTAAGATGGCCGAGCAGATAGCGATGAATGGTAGTGGGTGAAGTCAGAGATTTCAGTGAATGGTATTGAGGCGAGGTACTGCAGGGAATTATCAGAACTGTGGATTAGTAAACGCAGACGTTAGTGTACGGTATCTTTGAGTGTGGCCCATGCCATTAGGGATAATCTGTTTTAAAGGCAAATGGGGCAAGGCCTGTCTCGCAATTATTGTTGGGGGTGTATTTTGCATTGTGTTATACTGATCTCTTATAGCATTCTGTGACAAAATGATAAACTCTATATCAGGAATGGACGCAGGATACATCTAAGGTATGGTAAGAATGATTGGTGTGTTTGTTATCTGATCATGTGATAATGATGCAGGTCATACTGTGACATGGAAATAACTAATGGCTGAAATGTCACGGTAACTACCAAGTTCAAACCACTAAACATTATCATGCGCTGATATTCAATTTTGTAACATATAAACAAAACTGTGACTTTGCAAATAATAGGATAGCAACTGAATTCATAGAACAAGGTGCTTACAATTGGTAACCACTAAAAGTGTTCTACCTAGGCATGGGGGTTAATATCCATATTAATATTGTCATGGTATTTAACATGTTAATAACATTGTTTCTTGAAATTAGCACAAACACTAAGATAAGATGATTCATATAAATATTTGAAATGTCAATTTTGAGGTGTTAATTTAAGTATACTTCAGAAGTGGTTCTTATATGACCTCTTATAAATATTTTAATAAATACTTCAAATCTGGTCATATATATATGCCAAAAAAATAAACTTTTTTAAAACCAATAAATATTAGTTAATCCACTCAAATCACTGAGAACAACATTTTTAACAAGTGCACAGCACTTAAACATGTGTGCTACTTATTAAACATGTTTGCTACTAAAGCTTCACAGAAAAAAGTGTTGAAATCTTGCTAAAATATTTGACCGAGCACAAACTTTGCAGGTTTGTCAGCAGAGTGTGATCGTGAAACGATGCTAAAATAAGTAAAACAGAGCAACTAAGGTATTGCATGCCATGATTTCCTTGACTCTGGAAGTTTCCCAGAGATTGGTTATGAGATATAATTACAGTGTTGTATGCCACATTTAGAGAACTGACATTCATAGAGTAATTCAGTTTCCAATTGAAGTCTATAAAGACAAGAGTTCTGTTCAGACTGAGAGCAAATCAGAAATCTATCTTTCGGCTCGCCACAAAGCAATGAGTTATTCATGCTAAATAAATACTTGCAGCACAGACCGATAAATATGATATATAGCAGATACGGTAATCATTGTCCTAAGTAAGAATACAAAATAACTAGACATTTGACTTTGGTCAAGAGCTCAAGCTGCTTAATAAATATCTAAGTCTGAAAATGAGTGGATAATAACTACAAGCAAAAAGTTTACACCAGAGATGACAACAACAACGACGACGACGGCAACTACTATGATGATAATGACAGACAATTTCCTCTTTATATAATAATGAACAGCAAGGTAAAAATGAAGATAAACAAATCAGAATATACAAAGTTACTTTTCTTTCACAGTGTTTTTTAACTATAGCAACGCGTGTGTGAACTCAATGGAGCTATCCCTACTCATGTCAAGTTGAGTTTAACAGACAACAGGAATTGGTGAGGGCGCTAGACTTGTGACTAAATGTGAGTAAAATTTTGGTCTTACCAAAAGCAGGTTGGAGAGGTAGGCCTTCTTTAGACCCTGACTGTTGTAACTTGAACATTTCCATTAACCATTCTTCAAGCTCTTCAGAGGTTTCCATTAAAATTGTGAAGCAGTCATCCCTTGTATAAAGTGCCAATGCATACTTGTGTTTTGAGTCGGTTTTTCGGTTTATGTTAAAACACGTACTGATCACAACACTTCGTTTTGGTGCAGCATTGGCCCGGAATTTCTTCTCGCTGTCGTAGTACTCCAACCTTGCTGGACCTGATTTTGTCTGGGCTCGGAGAACGAAGTACTTTTTCTTCATAGTCTACAGAGAAAAAATCATATTAAAAAAATACATAAATAAGAACACACATGCTCATAATATTGTTTCTTGTATTTTCATTACTGCTCATATAGAGTATACTGTCAGGCAATTATATTACAGCTGTACAATTTTGATGATTTTTTTCAGAATTTAATGAATTGTCATTTTCAAACAACATACACTGTTCAAAATATGTAGTGATATGATATGCTTAGCAATCAAATGAGTTACATTATAGACTCTGTGATTTGTACTAAACTGGTCACAAGTTGTTAACACTTGGTTTAATACTAGGGTGTAATTAAAATAATGACACACAAAAGATTTATATTACATAAATAATTATTGTAGAATAGAATAGAATAGAATAGAATAGAATAGAATAGAATAGAATAGAATAGAATAGAATAGAATAGAATAGAATAGAATAGAATAGAATAGAATAGAATAGAATAGAATAGAATAGAATAGAATAGAATAGAATAGAAAATTTGGTATATCCATAATGATTTGGTTAGAAAACAGCTTAAATGTCAACAGAAAATGTCAAAGAAATGAATGGTTAAATAGTACAGTTATCATGAATTTCATAATGAGACAAGTCATTGAAAATGACACAGTCCCCGTTAAATTTTTGAAAGTTCTCTTTGTGCTTGTCATATTAAAGCGAAGGGGTCATCGCAAGCGTGTCCTTGAAACTTGAGTTCCAAGTGGCGCCTACAAAAGATTGTTTATTTACATCAAAACACGTGTTCCGTGTAGTAGTAATATGGCCAAAAATAAAAACAGCCGTTATTCGGCCATCTTTGATCTGATTATGAAACACATTGATATGTATGATGTATGTGCCAAATACGAATGAAAATGGTACATAAATTGTGGAAATATAGTAGTAAAGCCAAAAAGTCAGATGGCTGTCAATCGGTCATCCTTGACCAGATTTTGAAACAAATTGTTACGGACATGCATCCTAACATGTATAAAGTACATGTATGTGTCAAATTTGAATGAAAACTGATAGAGCACGTCCAAGATACCGCATAAAAAAAACAAGATGCCTGCCAGTCGACCATCTTTGATCCAATTGCGAAATAAATCGTCATGGACATGTATCCTAACATGTATAATCTATGTACCAAGTTTGAATGACAACTGACAAAGCATGTTCAAAATACAACATTTTCAAAAAACAAGATGGCTGCCAGTCGGCCATTTTGAATCGAATCACTAAACCACTGCATGTGCATATGTCCCAAATAAGGTACTAGGCACATGCAAAGAATGAACGAAATCGGTCAACAGGATTCTGAAATATGACTCTGGACAGACTGACGCACAGACGGACGGACGGACAGACTCAGGAACTCACGGATGGTCAGGGACATGTATCCTAACATGTATAATCTATGTACTAATTTGAATGAAAACTGACAAAGCATGTCCAAAATACAACATTTTCAAAAAACAAGATGGCTGCCAGTCGGCCATTTTGAATCGAATCGCTAAACCACTGCATGTGCATATGTCCCACATAAAGTACTAGGCACATGCAAAGAATGAACGGAATCGGTCCAAGGGATTCTGAGATATGACTCCGGATGGACACACGGACGCACAGAGACCGAATTATAAGTCCCCGTTTTCAGACTTCGTCCGAACGGGCACTAATAACATATCTACACTGCAAGAAACTTCTCGTTTTTCATATCAGTTTTTGGTCTAGTGTGTCGCCCAAGTTCAATGTGTAATTTATGGCAGCTAAGTCTAAATTTGCTTAATGTTCTTACTGCTTGTCTGTCATTCAACTGTTTTATAGATAGGTTTCTTGGTGAATGGTGTGTTTAAAGTACTTATTAAATGTTCTCATTTTTTAGTCATCTCATTGCATGTCAATTTTGGTAACCTCATGAAAGTGTTCTTTTGTAATATTAAAGTCTATTTTGTGAAGTCCATTTTATAAAAACATCGCAGAAGAAGTACATGATGGCATTTTCTCAGTAATTAACTCAAACCAAACAAGCATTGATGACCCTAACCTGAACCATTAACCTTTTGAATACCAAGGTCAATGTAAACTTCACAATAAATTCACCACATTGTCCACATTTTCCAGAAAAATTATCATTATTACCAAAACTTATTGCAAAATAGTGTCCTTTTGGTCTATAATTAACAAAACATACACGAAAATGTGCAAAATATTGCATATAATATTGGTGGGGAAGAAGGTTAAAGGTTGAAAGAGCAAGGGGGGACCTTCTTGACCCTCAGTGTGTGAATAAACAATGAAAATAACAAACATTAGCAATTTACAGTTCTGCATGATCTGATAATATAGTTATGAAGGTTATATCATTAATATTTCATATGATAAATATGTCAAAAATTATAGAAGACCATTCAGCATACAGCGTATATTGATGTGTGTCAACTAGAGACATGTAGTATATTTACAACAGCTTGATCACAATAAATAAAACATAAGCATAAATTAACAGCATGCAGGCTTCATTAAGTTGGCGTAATTAAACAATGTCCTAATTCCACAGTTATTGGTCAACAATACAGTGATGATATTGAGATATCATATGACAAAAGTGATTCATTTGACCTCATCAATCACTGATAAAGGTCATTCTGACATTGCTAGTTATTTTCAGTATAATAATATAATAAGTTGTGATAATGTAACGTATAATAATGAAGTCACAGATAAGACAGTACATAATTCTACTGATGACCATCTTGCCGATGCAAACATGGATACAATTAATGAACTTCCAATGGAACTAACATAATCCCTGGAAGGAACCATCATTCAAGTGAATATGTCAGCTCCCAGGAATGTAAATAATCTTACAATGTAAGATGAAGTAAATACAAGCAACCAGGTCCATTGAGACCACAGGAATAATACCACCCCAACTATTCTATTCTATTCTATTCTATTCTATTCTATTCTATTCTATTCTATTCTATTCTATTCTTCTAGTAAAAACCAAAAATTTACTCAAATGTTGTCTGTTGGCTTAAAAATTTTGGTTCATTTCCAGAAGTATTGAAGAATATAAGTAAAAAGTGTAGACAAATTTGAGCGATAAAGTCTGGTGGTGAAATGGTTAACTAACATCAAGTTAGTTTTAAGTACTTTAGACCAAAAGCAAAAACAATAAAATGGCTCTATCTGCAGTCGATGCAAAAATATTTAAATCAATTCATGCCCAGACATTACAAGATTGTAATGCCATACAAAATGATATAAGGTAGTAGCTGCTGTGGTTTAGAATGATTAAGCAGGGGATGCAATTTGATGCAAAGAAGTGTAAAATACTATCAATTTGTAAAAATGAAATTATAATATGAATAACAGAATTACCGATAGATAAATTGGGTGTATCAAGCAATCATTCCTAGAATGACCACATTAGAACTAAAATTAAGTAAGTGGAATTCACACTCTGGTTCATTCATAGAACTTTTGAAAATAGCAAAACAATGTCACCTAAAATGTTATTATACATTTCACTTGTAAGATCAGATCTTGAATACGGAAGTCTTATTTGGTTCTTCAGTTCCAACAGGAATCTCTACTTGTATGAGGCTGTACAAAAACATGCATATATATATATACTGACTATAATGAGAAATTGTCAGTTACTGTCTCTGTCACTACGGAGTGAAATGATTGACATACTGCCTTTTTATAAGTTCAATAATTTGTTCGATCTTGACTTGTCAGATCATTACACGTTTTGTAGCAATAGAACCTAAGGTTCTGTTATGAGGTCTTAAAACAATTAAAGTAAATTACACTAAGATAACCCGTACAGAGGCTAGTAGACAAGTTATATAATTAGTGTGAGACAAATTCTAAAATTATAGTAGACCTGTTTGTATCTGTATAGATTCATTCTGTATTTAAGAAGAGAATCATTATTTGGGAAATAATTTCTTGAATCTTTTAATACAAATTCAAATCGTACTTGGCATAACATTAGTTCATGTTCGAGATGTTGTTGAGATTTATTAATGTTCAATTTTTTTTTGTTATATTTAATTTCATCAAAAGAGCTGCCTTGTATACATGTAGGTGTTTCACCTGATGCATATATACATTATTATAATGTTTGGTGAAGCTTAATGAATAAATATGAGAATACTAGAAAGTATTCATGAAGGCAGTATGATAATTGTATTGAGCGATGAATAACAGAGGTTGATGCAATCTTTTACTGCCCGAGTGCATACCATTCTCATGGTGACCTTAATTATTATATATCCTTTCCTGCTTGCGGTCAGATTTGAGCAAAAGATATAAAATGCATTCTATGAGATTCATGCCTATGTGGCCATTTACATGATTTATCAATGTGATTCTATTTCCGTTTTGCACTACACTGTCGTTACTTCAATGAAAACGAAGTCTGCAAATTGAAGTTAGTACAACAGCTGTTAAAGCTATCTATATACTGTGGAAATATAGGTAAAAAAGTATATTCACTAGATTTTATTTTCATGAATCATTCTTTCAGCGAAAATAGCGAAAATAAATTCCAAGCGAAAGTATTCTACAGTATATGCATACTTTACAGTGCATGTTAACTTGACTGATTACAATCAATAAAACACACAATATCCATATTTAAGTTGACTCAAAAATATTATTAATAAGAACAAATTTCAGAATGAAATGATGACAAATAAAACTGACTATTAAAAAGGTAAAAATCAATTTTATGCTCAGAAAATACTTTCTGGGTACGACATCTGAAAAACACCCGAAAACATATTCCCTCACAACTACATGTATCCCACCCCTCCAATAAAATGGTTCAACCCTAACCATAAAGGTTACCATGTTCTAACACCTGTGCGATACAGGTGGGCGTGATCAGGAAATAAAATTATTCACCGGGTGTGGATTACGAAAGCTAGTTCTGTAAAACGATATTTGTATTGAACAATTAATGAGTCATAGCAACAGTGGTAACAAAGTAATA